GTTTGAACAAGAACATAAGACCGCCTATTCTCCGCCTGCTGAACTAAAGCGTAAACATTATGGGAAGCACATTAGCTGATCAACTAAATTTATTTTGATCATGATGACAAAAAACAAAAAAAAAAAAAAAACGTACTAAGCACATGTTATCTCACCGTTCCTGATTTCTAATACACACTCACCACTTTCGCCGTGGTCTTGCGGCACTCAGAGCAGAAACGAAAGTTGTTGCTTGCTTTACGAATGTTTTTCCATTGCAAATCTACAGATCCACATGCAGAAATAAAACATTTAATGTCATTTTTCTAAGCACGTTTAACAATGTTGCTTGCAGTAGTCTTCCGCCTGAAGAAATAGGGTCTTGCATGTAGGCCTAAGTTATTTTGTGGTTCATATACAGTATAGCCTAACATTTAAAGCGACAATGCTGCCATGTCAAGATTGCAAATAGCTTAGTTGTGCTTAGTTGTAAACATTGTTTAATTCATGCATTGATTATAAGATCATGGACACTTAATTCAAGACATTAACTTAGAATTAAGCTATTTATTCCATCCTTTCTTTTTTTAAATCACATTTATTAGTTCAGTGAAGTTATAGTGTCATGGGAGCTTATCAAAATATTTCCCTAAAATCTGTTTCGCTTTCATGCTATAGCTGAATTCATTATGAGGACATTCCACACACACAATCATCAGACTGAGTTTTCCATGCAGTGTTCAAAAGGACATATTCACCCTTCCTCTCTTTCTTCATATATCCAGGGTTGACTGCCATCTGGACCTCCGTTTGACTCCTTTGAGAAAAACAGCATCCTCCACACCAACATTGGGCCATCAATGTAGTAAAAGGTAAAAGGTCAAATATTGTACTTAAAAAAATATATCCTGCCGTTTTAACTGCTCTTAAAGCCCAGGTATATACTTAATTTTCCGCATTCCGCTGCATCTCGCGCACAGTTGAGTGCTTAAGCCTTTCAAAGTAAACTCTTTTGACCGTGAGATCGTATATGCTTTTGTGGACCATTCTTTTCAAACGCTCCAATCACTCTCACACGAACACGTCTTCACACGGCGCAGACATCAGCGGACTGTGCTGATGATGAAAAAGATAAGTGGAGTATACTTTCAACTTTACTTTGGACTTTTAGATTAATATTAATGCAGCTGAAGACATCAAAGTAATCTGGTTAATTTCTGCTGTTTTCAGATCAGTTTAATAAGCAGAACATTTTCTTTGTTTTAGCAATTTCTGTGCAACGTTTTGCAATTTATTTCAGCAACTGTGCTGTGGATTTTTCTAAATATACTCATTAGCCAAAGTTTGTTAAAGGGTTAGTTCACCCAAAAATGAAAATTAAGTCATTAATTACTCACCCCCATGCTGTACCAACCCTGTAAGACCTTCGTTCATCTTCGGAACACAAATGAAGATATTTTTGATTAAATTTTAGAGGTGGATCACTGCTACATAGGCTGCCTAAGGGATCGAAACTTGACGGCCCAGAAAGTCATTGAAGAAAATGTTTAAATACGCTTTAAATGTTTAAATGCAAGAGATTTCCACGACGCATGCGCGAGAATTGCGTTGTTATTCTACTACTTCTTGTGCAATTCTCGCGCATGCATCGTGGAAATCTCTTGAACTCTCGTCTCAGGCCCAGAAGGAAGAAAAGGAATAGTCAAATAAAGTCGTTATTTTTGTTTTATTTCCACACAAAAAGTATTCTCGTCGCTTGATAAACTTATACTTGAGCCACTGTAGTCACATGGAATATTTAAACATTTTCTTCATTCACTCTTAGAAAATAAAGTACATAATTGTACCTTTAGGGATACAATAGCTTGTCACTGGGGCCTCAAGGGGACAGATTTGGTACCCAAAATCCAATCTGTTAACAGTCCAACTATAAATCAAACACTGATCACCATAATGGTGTCTTAAAAAATAGATTTTCTCCTTCAGTGATTCTGCTTGTAAACATCAGGTGTCTTCAATAATGGTCAATCACTCAATGAATCACTTAATGAGCTCATTAACTTTAAGACCCTTGAATGTTAATTTAACACTCATATTTGACCATTGAGTTTGAATTTGGAGCCATATTTAACACGAGTTTTTTCTGTGTCCAATATCAAGAGACAGACTCTGCTAAGCCATTTTTAAAAGTTGTTGTTTAAAGGTTTTAATGATACCTTAATTGTTTAAGGTAGATTTTAACTTATCTCTATATTTGAGTAGCCTTGAAATAACCTTGAAATAATGGAAATAACAAATATGTACCCTATGCCAAGGGTACAGCCCCAGTAAAAAAGCCATTGTACCTTTTTTCTGAGAGTGTTGACTTTCTGAGCCGTCAAGTTTCGATCCCTAAGGCAGCCTATGTAGCAGTGATCCACCTCTCAAATTTAATCAAAAATATCTTCATTTGTGTTCTGAAGATGAAGGAAGGTCTTACGGGGTTGATACAGCATGGGCGTGAGTAATTAATGACTTAATTTTCATTTTTGGGTGAACTAACCCTTGTTGAAAACTTCAACAAGGGTTAGTTCACCCAAAAATGAAAATTAAGTCATTTAAATTGCTATGTTGAAGGATATGTCTCTTCAGAGAGCAATAAGCGAGAGAGGATAGGATGTTTTTGGATGGTCAGTGTTTGGATCAGGATTTTTTTATTCTCTGAAGCTGTGGTTGAAGGTTTACCGTACTGCGGCCCCCGGGGAGCATCTCACTTTCAAGCATGGATTTGTCTTGGTGGCTCCTCTTATCTCAGGAAACTGTTTATCACCAGCTCTATTTCTCTTTGCTTTGTTTCTTCCCTCCACCTTTGCTTCCTGTTTAGGTCTTCCTGTTGACATTATTTCTGGTTTACCATCTTTGTCCACCTCTCTGACCATCTGCTTGATTCAAAATAATCAACAAACTCTGATTAAACTCTTACTAAGAAACATTTATTTCCTCATCATGTCTGTCTTTCTCCTGCTCACCACATGCAGTTTCCCTCCAGCCGTCTCAGTGTTCCCCGCATGCAGTCCACCACTCACCTACATCCACCCACAATGCCATTACAGTAGCTTTCTTTCATACTCTGTCCTTCTCTTCCTTCCTTCCTTTCTCCTTTCTCTCCTCCTCTCAATGGCCTGTGACAGAAAGGATAATTAACGAGCATCATAAAGCGCTCTCTCTATTAGCCGTGCTGTGGTGAGTTTGCCAGCTCTGTCATTCTGAACAAAACCATGCGGCTCTTCTATTTGATCCGCACTTCAAAGAGGGATCCCCACTGTTCTCCGCTCAGCGCTCTAATTGTGTCCTCATTTTGGATGGGGCAAAAACCCCCAACTGCTTCAAAACCAGCCAGTGCAGGGCACAGATAGCTCAGAGAGGGGACACACACTCAGATAACCGCTTTGGGAGAAGTTTTACTTTTACGTGTGATCGGTTTTGTGATTTTCCTAGAAATGCTTAGTAGTTTAGGCTGAAAAATTGGTCTTGGATCAGTAAGAGAGAGTTATATTTACGTTGTGCTCACAAAGATCAGAAAAAAAGTGTTGATTAAAGCTAATGAAGCTAATCTGTCTCTGCGACCTATGAACAAAAAGTGTGTCAATAACCATGAAGGACACATTGATCATTCTCAAATGCCACTTGTTGTCCGATTTTATACATGATGAGTGAAGCCAAATTCAAAATGAAGCCACATTATCTGTAAGTCGACTGGTATGATTTCAGTCAGACTAAAGTATTTTTTTTTTTTTTTTTTTTTGCTTTAGTTCACCCGAAATTGTACTTTTAAAGTGCATGTAATGCTTTTGCATTACCCAGAGTTAACGTCTGCTGTTATTCACTCTTGGTTGTGATGCCTGATTATGAGGAGCCCTACATGTGTTTGAGTTTGTGGATGTGTCTGGATGCTTGTGTGTGCCTCATTAGATAAAACGGCATTCTTAAGTGGGGCACCACAGTTTCCCCTTTTTACAGCAGGAGCCCACAAGATAAAACACCACATCAGCATCCTTTCAATTACAAGACGAACCTTAAAAAAAAAAAAATGCTTATCCAGTAAGATGCTTTACTCCTAGAGCACAGCATAGATTATATTGGGCTTCAATGAGTCTTTAATGATTTGTCCTTTAAGCGATTTTAGGCAAATTTGATATTTAAATTAGGTTATTTTCAGACTTTCTTAAAGATGTAAGTCACCGCAAAATAAACATTCTGTCATAAATTACTCACCTCATGACGTCCCAAACTGGCATGACTATTTCTGCAGAAGACAAAATAAGATATATTTTGAAAAATGTTTTTTTTTTTTGTTATTGGGGTCCAGTGTTGTGGAAAGTTAGTGGATCCCACAGACTTTCATTTATACGGACAAAAACATTCTTCAAAATATCTTGAACAAAAGAAAGTCGTACTGGTTTGGAATGACATGAAGCAGTGTTGTAGTACTCGAGACTCGGACTCGTCTCGGACTCGGTCTCGAGACCATATTTTAATGGTCTTGGTCTTGCCATGGACTCGTGTCCATTTGGACTCGGAATTGACTCGTACTCGAACATTTTTTTTTTTTTAGGACTCGGAATTATTCCCGAGACCACTCGAGTTCAATTAAAAATATTTTTCATGATTATTAATGTATGTTAATAAAATATTTCCTTAAATTGATTGACAAGCCCAGTGATTGGTGATTTTCTAGTGCGCAACTGCACATGACAAATTGTAATAAAATTACTTTGAACACCACCTACTATGTGGCATTTTTACCCTAAACTGATCATATATTTTAAACTCTAAGTAAATTCAGTAAAAAAAAAAAAAAGTAAAAAAAAAAAAAATTAGGTAATCAACCCTCACTGGTCTCGGTCTCGCCTCGGACTCGGACTCGACCGTCTCTGGTCTCGGACTCGACTCTCTATGGACTCGGTCTTGACTCGGACTCGACTCTCTCTGGCCTCGGTGTCGACTCGGACTCGAGTGAGGTGGTCTCGACTACAACACTGACATGAAGGTAAGTAAATTATTACCAAATTTGATTATTTTCAACTATCCCTTTAAGATTTAGGAATTATGCAGTAAATAATATGGTGCTGTAGACATGGTGATTTGTGTTACTCATCATGTGAGAAGCCCATCTTCTGACTGTATCTGCACTCAGTGCACAACAGGGTCATGGTGCTAATCTAGTGGGCATACACACTACACACATGCCAGCCTGCTGTCTCTCACCACCCTCCCCCAACACACACAACTGTCTCAGGCCCCCTTCTTCTGACACACAGCATGCTGGGTCTTTACAAAGCCCCATTCTGCAGCCGTCCCAGGACTCTGCACTGTACTGCAGGACTGTTGCCCTCTGCCCTCTCACACACCCAGCACTCTTTTGTCCCACAAGAAAAAAGCAACAGTCACGTGTCCACTGAACACTCCACAGCTGCTGGCCTTGTCCTCCTCATGCTGTCTTTCTGCTGAAATATTTACAGGTAATTTAAAGCGATGGAATATGAATTATGTTTATTATGTTTCCAAGACCGTTTTGGAATGTAACTGCAGAATTACTGCAGGACCATCATGAGAAGAGCCACAGGAAGGGTTATGAGATTGTATCATTTATAAACCAAAAATTGAAAATGACAAGAACTTTCTGAAGAAAACTGCTAAACAATGCTTTAATCGTTTCTTAGCAAAAAAACAAAACAACTGATGAGCCATTCCAATTAATTAATGTCAGTATCCCGTCCCCCATATCATGTTCACACACAACCTCCTCCTCACACAGGCTTCAAAGGCGATGATGGGAAAAGCCATCTCTCCGCTGGCCGCTTCAAAGCACAGGAAGTGTGTCAAAGCGACTAGCCGGCTGGTTCCCAGCCCATGCGTGTGTGATAGTGTTTGAGCAAGAGAGAGAGAAAAAATATGTGTATGCAGGGTGTAATAACATGCTCGTCTCTGTGCCTGTATATACGTGTGTTGGTTCAAAGCCAACCAGAATCCTGTTAGAGACAGGATGTAAAATCTGCTGTGGTGTCATGCCCCACTCTGGCATATGCACATGTTTGTATCAGGATGAGTTTTTCCAAGACCACGGACATGCACGACTTGTCCTGGAAAAGGCACTCCTTGTACAGTAGAGAGTGATCCACTGGAATGTCTTTCTTCTGACCCTCGCAAACCTAATTCAGACTTCATTGGAACGTTTTGTTCAGTTGGCATGTCTGTTTGTGCCTGGCACTTAATATTAGTACTTTATTTATCTCACAATTTGCTTGCTTATGCTGAGTTGTTTGCGTATTGACTGTATGTGAAGTGAAGTTCTTTATAGAGATTGTAGGTTGTTTTTCCAAGACTGCATCCATTTTAAACAATGAAATGATGCCATTGCAGTAGACATCAAATAAATGGGTATCCCAAAATGAGCTTCACCACTAACACATACTGTGCGTTTGTCATCGGTAGAACATTGTGCACAGAGAAAGATTCATCTTATGCTGCTGATTTGAATGAGAGATGACTTCTGTTCCTTTCTTCCCTCTCTGTGTGTCAGTGTAACCTGCATGTTCCGGTGTCAAGCCGTGGCTTCTTAATGCGATGTGGAGAGAGAAAGTCACAGTATTAGGGATTGGAGGAGTTCCCTACTTCTGTGACTTTTTCCCAAATAGACATTGAATGTCATATTACACCTAGCCTACATTTCCATACGTTTTTATTTGAATTTTTTAAATAGGGTTGATCATCTTAGTGCTAATAGAGGCATAAGTGCCGTATATGCTTCGGCAATATTATAATTGTAATACTGTCAATATAGATTGACATTACATTGTAAAGTTTCATGCTAATTGTGCACAGTCCAATTTACAGTTCATCCAGTCAATCGTTTTTTCACTTTTAATGTTATTCTGCTCTTGTCCAAACCAGCGATTGCTGTCCGCTCGGCTGGACGTGTTTAGCGGACGTCTTTCCTGCCCATGGCGCCCACGGGGGGCTTTGCGCTGCTCTTTTTATATTTGGAGACTCCAAAAGAATCCCGCTTCCCTTTCATGTGCCGCCTCGGTCCAATCAGACGTAAGGAGAGGCGGCCTGCGCGAGGCGTCAATCACGCTCGCTGAGTGGCTGGAGCGCCTCTCGTCTCGTCCGCTCTGGAGATCACTCGGTCCTCCGCCGCTGTTGGATGTGTACGGAGCCCGCGCGCTTTTCTTTACGGACGCTCACAAATATCACATTCCTTCTGGATTGTTTTTCGTTTCTGATGTTTCTCAATTGCTCTCCGATGCAGAGAAATGGGTAAACTTCATTCCAAACATGGTAAGACGGCATCTATTTGGTGTTGTAGAGCAAGTCTTTGATTTTAAAGCACTTGTGATATAGTTCTTTCGAATAATAGCTTACATTTATACGACATCTTTTTTTATTCTCAAAGCTGCTATTTGTAAAGCGAGGGAGAGTCCCGAAGGTGAGTACGCTTATTCATTATATAAACAATAACTATTTTTATTGTATTGGTTTTATTGATAAAACAAAAGCACCGCTAAACATTTGGCGAAAACAAACAAAAAAGAGCGTTAAAACTATATTTGAAAACTCGTACATAGACTAGTTGTAAACATATGAAGCCTATAGGTTAAATTGTGTTTTCTTTCTGTTTAGGCGATAGTTTTGTAGTTAACGCATGTTTGGCGAGGAAAGGACTGGATGACTGGATGGTTAAGCAGAAGTATTACTGCTCCAGCTCTCGTGTACAACAGCAGGACTGCCAGCAGAAAAATACCTGCGGACTGTCTGCACGGGTACGTACGGCGTTAATAACTTCTTTATCACATGTGTGCAGATTTGGGAGTTTCATCAAGTTGGACTAAGTTATCTTTGCGCTTCGCCTTCGCCCTTCATTGCATTTAAAGACACGAGAATCGACTGTTTGGGTATTACGTTTTATGGAGAAATGTTGCGCACTTTGAAGCACGGAACGGAACTCTTGCAGTTGAAAGTTCTGATCAAAAGCTTTGGTTGTGATATAACGACATCATCGTTTACAACTATCGCTGCTGTACAACTCTTTTTCTTTATGTTGATCTATTAATTGCTTATGGGTAACGTACGGTACGTTGACATGTCGATCAGTTTTAGCGGTGTCCTGAGATGTGACTTTTGTTTGATCTAAAATGATGAAGGAATTCCAATTCTGTGTCCTAATGGGCCACACATGCAATTTTATGACCTCAAATTAATTGAGAAACTAAATTTGAATATTTGTCATTTTAAAATGTAGGCTATCCTACTATATCACAAGACCACTTAAAATGATTTTAGTCAATTTTTCTTTGTGCGAGTAGACTACATTTTAAATGTCGATGTTGAATGGAAGTTAAAAGTTAATGAAAATATTACTTGACAGCTACCCGAATTCGGTTGTAGGTGATATTCTAATTGCAGTGTGGTCGCTGTTTCGAGGCCACGCGCTAGCCTACTAGACCACCCAATTCACGCGCTTTGAAAACGATCTTGCCATTGTTTTGTGACGTCACCAAGAACAATAGTTTACTCTCTGGAAACGCTCTGTAGTTTGAGCCCAACTATGAAAGCCAGCGGCGTTATTACCAGCCGTGATTAAAGGAGAAACCCTCTCTGAATACACGTTTTCCTTTAATGATGTCTGTTAAAACGCTCTCCACTGTTTCAGCTGCTGCCTTTGAAGCCAGAGGAGGAGATTTTGTGTTCCTTTGAATGATAGGAAGAGGAAAAGTCCAGACAGGTTCAGGCTGTCATTTTGAGGGGAAATATCAATGGGTAAACAAATAACACGTTGGGTATCTTAAATGTGGAAGATGTAGGCTATTTGAAAGTATTTGAATATGAATGTCTTTTTATTGCAAGCAAAAAAAGTTCTTGAATCTTGAATTTTGCCCAACAAGGAAAATGTAGCAGTCGTGTTTAGACAAAAGGCGCGTCAACTTTTCACTGGCGGCTCACATGAGTAAATGGTTTATTTGAACGTAGTGGGAAGAACTGTGTGAGGGGAAGAACTGTGTGAGGGCTAGGAACAGATGCAAGTTCTCTCTGTAGGTAATAGATCACGGCGGGTTGAAAGCATTGCAGGCTGACAGTGTGGTGACAGCGCTGTATTGTGAAGTAGAGAGAGGGGTGGAGGGAGGGCCAGTCTGTCTCAGATTTGGCATCCTAGTAAACACATAAGAGCACTGTCGTTTAGGAGAGGAGAAATCCTCTGGAAATACCTCAGAGTAAGCCTCTTTTGGTCAAGGGCTATTGTGGAGTCTCGAAAGACATTTTTTAAGGGTTGGAGAGATAGCGAGAAATGCTGAGAGTGACCGAAAGAGAGAGAGGAAACATTAAACAGCAGGAGAGTACAGCCACAGCTTCTTAAAACCCAATCCTCATATGAGGACTTCCAAACACAACACAAACTTTCAGAATCAGGAATGTTGCTGGAGAAATGCTGCATTCGATTTCTTTTCTAAATCACTAAGAAAGTAATGGCAATAAACAGTGATTTGGCATGTAAGATGCATAATACTACACTGCAAACAAAGACTTTGCAACAAAATTGTGAAGTGTGGATTTTAGATCTTGTGGTTTAAAGGGGAGAAAACAAGTTTAAGGTGCACGGAACGCACAAAGTTCACACAGTTGGATGTTTATTACTGTGAGAATGAGGTTTTATTGTAGCTAGAGAGATCATAATGGACTGAGTTACAAAGTCTGAAATGACTTCATTGGTTTACCTGTTGTTTATTTAGGTATTCAGACTTCACCACACTTAACTTTAAAGCCAAACAGTCGTTCAGTTTTCTATTTCAACATTTGCCTTTTTATTGCATCAATTTGATAGTCTGCAAATGAACCAGGGATTGTCCAACAATTCCAAATGAACAATTCGTTTGGGAACAAAAAGGGATTGTTTTTCTTCTGATGTGATGTTTAATAAGGAGTTTAAGAAACAATAGCAGTACCGAGGAGTGTGTGTTTAGTTGGTGTGAAGTGATTTGTCCATGCTGGGAAATGATCCCTACTGAAGGAATTCAAACATTTGAACAATCTTTTTTAATCACATCACATTTCTAATCAATGGAGTGTTGGAATTAAAAAAACGAGAGAAGGTGAGAATGTGTTTCAAATCATAAATATTCATTTTGAAATACTTATTTTGTTTTGACATTACAAAGAATCTCCAGAAAAGTTTAATATTTTACTGAGTGATGAAAATTGAGGCTGGTTTAGCTGGAAGGAGGATTTGCATCCCTTTGTTGGTTCCCTCTTTTTAGATCGCAAGTGAACTATTTGTGAATGGTTCGACCATTATTGTTATTATTCTAGTGTGAAATGTTGATTGGATCAGTGTGTGGAGTTTATACTGAAAGCAATTTTTCCGATTTTATTTATTCGTTTGTTTTCTTAATGTTTCTTGAGCTTTAATGTAGCCACCACTTATTTCCTGATCTTTTGAATCTGAGATATTTCAGCATGATGTTGATACTATAATACTTATAAAATGAGTTTGTCAAAAGTAATTACTTAAGTTAAACAATCAACTTATATAAGATTTCTCTTTCTTACTGAGAAAAGTCACGGATTGGTTGAAGAAGAAAAACCTCACTCCCTGAGCATGAAGAAAGCATAAACCTCACTCATAAAAGCAAGATGATACCGGGACTAATAGAGGCTACCTGGAGAGTTAGTTATTTATAGCAGCTGTGTGTGTGTGTGTGTGTCTGTGTTGTTAATGGGGTTCAGATGGTATGGATGGTGGGGAGTCAGGGTCAGGAATCTGTTTGAGTGTGTTTGTGTTGTGCTGTGTTAACTAGAACTGCCCATTTTCCAGTCTACTTTGCATTGGTCCTGTGCCTTTTTGTAAATCAAACTATATGGTTTTATTCAAAAAGAGGCAAGGGTCAGATGTGTGGCCTATATACTGTAGCAGGTTGAGCTCAGGTTCTCATGTGGGAATGTAAATTAAGTCTAGCTCCATCATTTGCTGTCCTCTATGCAGCTTTTCAGACCTACTGTTTTACTTTCTGTGTTCTGGTCTAAAGTTATTGCAGCTATGCTCTTGTTCCTTTAAAACCGATTGATTGGTGTTCTGTCATGTGGTGCAGCTTTTATCATTGTTGTGTTTGCCATTACCAAGCTGTAGTAAACCTCAGCTATATTATAGTCATCATTTAAACAGAGACCAGACCTTCTTAAAAAAAAAAAAAATAGCACCACAGCGCTAAAACTGGTCCGAATTACACTATCAAAGAAGAAACTCAACCCCACAGCTCTAAAATCAGTCAGAATCAAAGTGCCAAGACCAGACGATGTTACTGCTTTGAAATGTGGCTTTTGAAAACCACTCTGAAACCAGTTGGCACAGCAGTTCTAAACTAGGGCAAACCAGACATCACAGCTTTAAACATAATCTCTGCCACAGTCAAAAGCGACCAATAGGTCAACTATAAACCGGGCTTGATCATGACTTTGAAAGCATCCTGTATCACTCTGTGTAGTATCGCTCAGGGACCAAACACTTTGAAGCCCAGATCAAACAGAGAACTGTAATTCTTAAAATAATTTCTTCAGAAATTTCAGAACTTTTGGGGAAAATGTATATTTAAACCCTTCCAGACAACATGCACACTTTTCTTTTTCTGGCCTTTACTTCAGAATTTTCTTTATTGTAGCACAAAGACTGACAGTGTATGCACTATATTCCTTTGTCTCTTTTATTCCCTTCACAATATCCAAAGTATTTCATTCACTTTGAGCTTCAAGTGTGGTTGTCACACACTTACCATTATACTTTTTTTTCTTTTTACTTTCTGTTCGAGACGTCAGCTTTACCATGTTTCTCCAGGGCTGGTTAAGAAAGGATGACAGAAACAGATTGAAAGACAGAGGGTGGGGGCGGAAGAGAAAAGCCATGTTTTTTTCCTGTCTAAAAGAGAAAGAAAAAGGAAAAGGGTGCCTCCGGGGAGTGAGACAGCACCTGGCTCCAGTGTAGGGCTGTTGAGGGGCTCCTATGAGAAAGGCAAATAGGATAAGAGACAAGAAGGGAAGAGGGGAACAGAGTTCTTCCAGGACCAGAATACTGGTGGCTGCTCTGTCATCTGCTCTATCAAGTATTTGACGTTGTTTAATGTTAACATTACTGATACAGACTGAACTCACTCCATTTTTCCCGAAACATATCTGTCTGTTCAGAACTGAGGAAATAAATCATTTAGCACATTTCCTTTCCATACTTTGTGTTTGTGTACCTGCTAAACACTACGGTTTGAGGACCAAATGTCCTTTTTTCAGTCCATCGGGAAAACATTTTTTTATTTGAAAATGTTAAAATGCAGAAAGTTTTCTGTGGTCTGTAGGTTTACCAATTTTTAAATAAAACTATTATAGTAAGAGTACAATTAACAACGTCAATGCCAACTGTAGTCTCATTAAAATGTACAAATGCTGGGTGAAGCAGAAATACAGTCACATCATCTAGGTCTGTTAGGAAGAAACTTAATAAGAAACGTATTGGCACTATTTTAGTTGAGCTTAAGTGCTGTCATTACATTTTAAAAAGACAGATTAGCGTTTATTATACTGAAATTAAACTACTTAAATGCATTGACTGTCATTGATTCATTCATTGAGGTTCATGAATGAGTCTGTATCAGGAATATCAGCTTGTGCACAGCATCTATGTTGGGATAACCTGTAAAGAGATGTGGAACTTGAAAGGCAGTTTTGAGGTGACTAGACTTTCCTCTTAAGTTACTCTTGGTTGCCCTATATGTTTTGTATGTGT